TCGGCTCTAGCTCTGTCCACGAGATGCCGAGCCCAGCTTCTGAGGAGACGGTAGACGAACCGGCCTGGGCGGAGCCAGCAGCACCGCTAGAGGCCGCATCCGTGGTGGAGCTAGAGGCCGCGGCGGAGGAAGTGGCGGCGGCGGAGCTGGCAGAGCTGGTGGCGGCCGCGCGGTTGAGAGTGGCGGCGGAGGCGGAGGTGCCAGTAGCGGTGGCGGAGGAGGGAGGGTCTGCGCGTGCCCGAAGGCGACGAAGTAGGTCACGCGCGAGAAGGTGAACTCCACCTCTTGCATGCGCTGCACCCGGTGGACGGCCCGGTCGATGAGGGAGCACGTGCCCGCGCTCGGCAGCCGCACGCGTGCGATATCGTCGTCCGAGATGTCGAACAGGAGCGTGGCGCCATCCCGAGCGAGCGACGCAGCGCCGCGCATCGAGATTGAGCGCTCCGTCCCGCTTTTGTGGCGGTACAAGTACACGGCCTTGCGCAGGGCGGCCGAGTAACGATTACCCGTCATGTTTTGACGCAGCGCGTACTCGATGCGATTGCGTGGCCGGCCGCGCTGCGGCCGGCGCGCCTCCGCTGCCCGCACCTCCGCCGCGCGCTGCCACAGGCCGAGGAGCGAGTCGGCCTCTGTCGGCTCCACCTTGCCGAGCACGCCGGGCAGGTGGAGCGAGAAGAGCTTCACGTCGTCGATCGCCTGCAGGGCGGCCCGCTGCAACAGCGGAGTGTTGAGCGACGCCTGCAAGACGTCGAGGCTGTAGAGGCCCGGGAGCGTCGGCACGTCGCTGGGCTCGTACACCAGCAGCAGCTGCGAGCGAAACGCTACGCCGAGGGAGCGGCCGGAGCGGCCCTGTACCTCTGGCCGCATGACGAATTCGCACATCATCAACTGAATGAATGCACCCCCGCCAAAGTGTCGCAGCGGGTTCGAGAGCTTCAGCGCCAGTTCTCGAACGAGCCTCGTCGTTGCCGCCGCGTGCAGCCGCTGCCGCCGCCGCTCCTCCTCGCGCAGCCCTACGACTTGCAAGTCGAGCCGGGCTTGGGCACGCAGCTCGCGAGGCGTCGGCACGCCTGATGTTTGCGTCCCGGTTGTCGCTGTAATCGCTTCGCGAGCGGCGGCACGGTGGCCAACCTCCTCCAGCTCGAGGCGTCCGATGTCTGCCACCAGCGTGAGCACGCTTGCTTGCTGCTGCTGCTGCTGCTGCGCAGGCTCCGCTGGAGCACTGCTCAGAGAGGGAGGTTCCTCGTCAACCTCCATGCGATCTCCGTTCGAGGCCGCAGCCGACGAGCCGCCGACGAGCCGCTGCGGCGCTGCACGGGAGAGCGATCCTCGGCGTCCGTGCTCTCTCTGGTTGTAGATCCCGTCGCGGCGGCCCTCGTCGCTCGTGCTATGCAGCTCCATGGCCTCGCCGAGGACGTCGCCAACCGTAGCATGCCGCGGTGCTCTCAGGTTCTTTGCGACGCCGACTCTGCGCGAGCCAGCACGGCTTTGCGGCCGCGAGGACGTTGCACTCGGCGAGGGCGCCTGTTGTGACGAGATCGGAAGCGTGAGATAGCGACGACTGCGCAGGCACAGAGTCGCAAACTGGCGGTACCGAGCGGCGATCTGGTCCTGGCCTGGAGCCGGGACGGACTCCTTGGCCGCTTTTGCGACGCTGTCCCAGGCCTGCGCCCGCTCTTTTCGGCATGGCTCGAGCACGAGACAAGTCGGAAAACCGCGACAACTTCGGCGGGCATTCACAGATTTTTACCACCTCGGAAGCAACGCCTGTGTGTTCACCGGTGCTAGAGAGTGTCGAAAAGGAGTCCACACTGCATTCATCGACATCAACGCGCCCCGCTGCGCCGCGCTACTCGCGAGAGCGGGAGGAGATTTGGGGAGATTGTCGGGAGATTTCCAAGATTGTCACCGGGGTGTGCGTGGGTAAGTCGTGCGTCCTACGTGCCAAGGCGATGTGCATGCTAGTCTGGCTCGTCCCAATACGCTCAGGGGGCCGAGAACAGCGCTCTGTCGCGCGCTACTTTCCGTGCTGCTGAGAGAGGCCCGGAGGGGCCCACCACGGCCCACGCTCGCCTCGGAAATGCAAAAAAATGCTCCCAGGCCCCCTCCCGCCCACCCCGCACACCTGCTTGACTGCTCCCGAGCCCCACGAGCCGAGGCGAGAAAGTTCGAATTAAAGTGCGGAGTTTGAACATGGTATACTAGCTCCGAGTAGAGGGGGCGTTCTGCTGCTAGGGGAAACCTGGAGCGCGGAGCTAACCCTCGGAGACCCGTGTTTACTTTAAGGCCCTTGCCCTGCGAATGCGCACCCCCCCCTAGCTAGGGGTCAGGGCTCTCTAGCCCGTAGCCCGATGCCGATCATCCGGCTCGCTGGGTGCGCTTCTCAGCTCCCCGGCCCTGGATGTGAGGTTGATGACTGCACTCCAAGTGCTCCAAGGACAACAGCCCGAGGGGTGAAATGTCTTTGTTGTCTCTGTAATGAAGGGCCCGCCGCTCCGCCTACGCCGGCGGTGACCCTCTCGGCAGAGCGACATCGCGAGCACCGGGCAGAGAAGGACGCAGAAGCGGTTGGATGGAGAGGCAGCCGGCGCACGAGGAGAGGCAGCCGATGGAGCCGACGAGGTGAGTAGACACGAGTTTACCATTCTGCCGGGGGGGGGGGGGCGCAAGCCCTCCCCACCACTGCTACTCTGTACTGCATGCAACTCAGCAGTGGTCGCAAGCGTCGCAAAGGGCAGGGAGGCAGCCTCGCGCGCTGTCGAACGCCCCCCCGGCCCAGACAGAGGCATCACAATCATGCTCTGGCCAGCGTCTGGTGGGTCGGCATTGCGCAACACACGCCGCAATCAGCCTGAGAGCAGATGATGGGGTGGGCGCTGGTGGACGAGAGTGGAGCCGAGTTGGGTGGGAGAGGGAGCACGCACGTGCAGCGGTGCCGAGAGTGGGTTGAGATGGCACCGCCTGCGGCCGCCCGGGCGGCGACGGCTTGCGCAGGTATGTTGTTCATGTCCTTATCCGCCGCCGCTTGGCTGCAGCAGCCAATGACGCCGCCCGCCTTTGCGAAGGGGCGTCTGGACGTGCTTGGCGGTTGACGCCGGCCCGCCACTGCGCCTCGTGCGCGTCCACCTCCGTCGAGGTCGACGCGTCGAGATCGGAGCGCATCACCGAGACGCCAGAGCCCGCCTTCGCCGAAATGATTCCCCGCCGGAGAGCTCGGTGGTGTGCCGTCTGTGCCGTCGCTCCGCAGCGCCGACAGGGCAAAAATCGCCAAAAAAAATCCCGAAAAAATCGGCGCCTGCGGCGGGCCATGGGACCACCCCATCTCCCCCCCGCATGGACACCCTCTGGGGCCCCCGCGCCGGCCCAGAGGGACCGGGGCCCCAGCTTCGGCTGAGGGCTGACAAGCTGCCGAGGCCCAAATCACTGTGAGAGTCGTGATTTCTTGTTGGTTTTTCTAAAATCTCTCTCAAGAACTACCGACCCTGCTGGGATGATGTTTGGGTCGACACTCGAACGACTTTTCTCTCTTTTTCTACCCTTATAAGTCTCTCGTGTCGGCGCCGACGCTCTTGGTTTAACCGTAGAACGTCCCAGCCGAAAGCCGCCCGATACGATCGATCAGTCCACAATCGTCGGCCCGCAGCGACCCGCAGCGATGGATGCCGCCGCCCCCCCGGCCCCTACGGCCGACGCGCCGATGCACGACCGGCCTCCGTCGGACGGCTCTCCGGCCTCTCCGGCCGCTGCCGCCCGCGCTGCTGCCGATCCAGTCCCTCTCACGCTCAGCGATACCCGCACAACCTACGACAAGTTTGAGGTCGCCGGCTTTGGCCAGGTGCAGCCACCTGCTTGCCTTCATGTTCACGCTTCGCGCCCCTCCCCCCCTCTGACGCCGCCGTATGACCTTAGGTGAGGGGCACGACTACCCGCCTGGAAGGCGCTCTCATCAGCAAGTCACCCAGGCGCCAACTCCTGGGCGTTTAAGCTTGACTACGAAACCATGCAGTGGATGCAGCTCGATCAAAACGGCGACGCCAACAGCTGGCCCCTGGGCGAGTTCCTTGCGCTCATGATGAGGTGCGAGCCATGATGCTCGACTATCAGCGTGCACCAAGTCGCTCACATTCCGTGAGTTCGTCGACGGGCCGAACTCTCCAAGTCGACGGCGATCTCGAACTCCGACAACTGGACCGGTGCACCAGCCGCGTAGGACGATGGCTCCCTCGACGACATCCCTTCATCGACGGACGCCTTCACCGCCGCCGGCCCTGGGCCATCCAGCGCGGCCTCCGACGGCCTGCACGTGATCGAGGTACAGAAACGGTGGCTGCCGCAGCTCACACCCTAATCTATCTGCCTTAGGCACGGAGCCAACGGAGCCATCGCGCATGCCCGCATCGCGTGCGGCTCCGAGGTCTCCCGCCGAGACCGGCTCGGCGCGGCGCGTGGCCGCACGCCGCCGTTGAAACGGCGATAGGAGAGGGGAGAGCGCCGGCCACATCGAGCGAGCGCTGACGTGTAAGGTGTCTGCGCTGCTCCGGTGTGTGTGGGATTATGCCTCCCCCCATCTGTGCGGCGAGGTGTTTGCGGTGGGTGCGATGGCCGATCGTGCGCGATAGCCTCCCATTGTGCGTGGTGTGTCGGTGTGTCGGTCGTCCGGAGCGTGTGGCGGCGCCGTTGCATGCAGCGACTCTGCGCTCACGTGCCACGACTGCTTTGACTGACTTATGAGTGCTGATGGATGCAAAACCAAAATGAAAGTGCGGAGTGGCCCCACTTTGCGTGCAGATCCTGCGTCTCTCACTGCCCGAACAACAGAGGCGGGTACCGCCGCAGGTCCCCCACTAGTATGTGAACAACACTCAACAGCCAGAAAGCTCTCCCAAGTCGCTCTAGTGCGCCCGAACAGAGATATACGATGACTGAGCTGAGAGGTCCGAGTCCGGCAGCCCGGCTCAATCTCCGGCACGGGGCACCACGCGGCGGCGGGGACCGCCGAATCACGCATTCCGCGGTCCTTGGGGGTGCACCACGGGCACCGGCGGCGGCACCGGCTCGACTGGCACTGCGTGGACGAGGAGCGCCGCCCCGTGCGCCCGCCGCCGCTTGGCGAGGCAGCAGCAACGAGCCAGCGCCGCCGCGAGGAGGAGGGAAGGCAGCGCCACTAGCAACGCCATCCAGCCCTCCTGCACCGAGCACTGCGCCCAGTACCATTCAGACGGGACCACACTCACCGCGGCCGACACCGCCCACTCGCCGAGTCGGAGGGTCGTGTTTGCCGTCGTTCCCGCCGGACCGAAGCCGGAGCCGGCCCAGCAGCGTCCTTGCGCCAGCCGGAAGGGAGGGAGCTCGCCGCGTGTCGTGCCGAGCGGCGTCGCGATAGAGTAGGAGACAGAGCCGGTCGCGTTGGCCGACATCCAGACGCAGGACGGATGCGACGCTTTCGCGCACCACTCGCAGCTCGTGTACACGTCGGGGCGGCACTCGCAGGTCATGGCGTCGAGAGAGATGCCGGAGGCGGAGCATGCGCCGAACGGGCTAAGGGACTGCTCGACGCGCTTGCAGCTGCCGCCGTTGTCGTAGCACCAAAAGCACCCGTCTTGGTCGCTGGAGAGGCAGGAACCGCAGTGCGTGTGCCGGGAGCAGTCGGCCGCTGCACGAGCTGCGATGATGAGGAGGACGGGTTTGCGCAACATCATTCGTGCGACAGGGCGGACTCGTGTGCGAAAGCTCGGACGTCGTTGTTAATAGGAACAAGCGAAGGCACACACGACATGACGCCAAACACACGATTGCACGCACCGCACCGCACCTCGCACCCGCGCCCGCCGCCCCCCCGACCCCACGACAACTACGAAGAAGAGTCTCCTTATCAGCTGGTTGGTCGCTTCGCTCTCGCTCGCCTTGTCCGGCGCCGCCGCGCGGCCGGCCACGGCTGCGCCCGGCCTCGTCTCCACGGTCTCAGACGGCCTCATGGCGCCTACTGACGCCGACGAGACGGAGCGCGTCGGATTCGTGCTGCAAAACTTTCAATCTCGCCGACGCTTTATGAGGCACCGAATCGACCAGAGCCACAGCACTCCTCGCCTGGCTTGGTCGGGTCAGCGCCCGGCTGCGATCGACTGGCCTCCAGTTCGAACCCAGGTGGGCCTGCTGCCGGCCGCGTTGGCTCGCCAGAGCTGCCGGGCTTGCCCAGCCTCGCTGGCGCCTTTGGCGAGGCTGGGGTGGCTGCTGGGCATGACGACATCGCAGCAATGACCTCCACGCTGCGGAACATCCGACTGGGGTTCGCACAGGAAGCCGCAGCGACCCGCGTTCAGCGGGCGATGCGCGCGCTCCTGCTGCGCAAGGGCACCATCATCATCACGATCCTCATCACCAAGATACAGGCCGCTGCGCGCGGCCTCAACACTCGCACTTCTCTGAACAACTTCTTCAAGGCCTGCCCGCCTAGCGGGCGCACCGCCGACCTCTTCCTCAGCCGCGTCTATGGCGGCCACGAGGGCGGGCGGCGGCGCGGCGGCGGCTACGTCGTCGATTTCATCTACTGTTTACGCTCCACAAGTCTTCCTCTCCCCTTCTCGGAAGCGTTGGCCCGTTTCCCTCTCGAAATCTACAACCCTTACGGCACAGTGCGCGGCTGCGACGGAACCATCGGGTTCCGCCACCAACGCGAGGCCACCGGAGAGCAGCTGTGCCTGCCTCCGCCCTCGTCCCCCTCCTCCCCCCGTGAGTCGCCCTGCCCCAGCCGTCCAGAGCACGACCTCTGGCGGGCCAGCCAGTCACTTGATGACACCTCGATGGGCACCAAGAAGAAGGCAAAACAAGGCAAGAACTTCAAGGCCGCACAGGCGGCGGCGCAGAAGGCTGCGGCGGCGGCGGCCGCTGCAGAGGCGGCTGCTCAGGCGGCTGCTCAGGCCGCTCAGGCGGCCGCTCTCGGACGGTACAGGTTGGTCAACGCTTGGTACTACCCTCGCGGCGACTGGTACACCTTCTACTGGGACGGCAGCACGGCCGACAAGGTCGCAAGGCGCGCTACCTACCCGACGCTCGAGCACGACGACCACGACCCCGGCCCCCTCGCAGAGCGCATCAGGCGCGACAAGCGCGAGTTCTCCATTTTCGGCGCAGAGCGCATCAGGCGCGACAAGCGCGAGTTCTCCGGCCGCTCCTCCGACGACTCCTCCTCCGACCGCGACTCATGCGGCACCGGCTCCACTAGCGAGGCGAATGACATATTCGACACCCTCGAAGACCATCTCGGCTACGGTTCCGACTCCGGCTCCGGCTGGTAGTCGACAAGCTGCCGAGCGCAAATCACTCTGTGTGACACATTTCTTGTTGGCTTCTAAAAATCTCTCTCCGACCCCCGCCCCGCCTAGGTGGGAAAGAGATGAGGAGATGGGACAGCGAAGGAGGAGCCCAAACACGTATGGGAGGTTTCGTTGATGCGTCACGCTGCCCGGCGTTTCTCACTTTCCGGGACAGCCCCGCCCTTGTGAGGCAGGAAAGTGACGACTACCCCGTACGCCCTGTTGCATCATACCCCATCGCCGACCGCCCATTCCCCCCTCCTCGTTCCCCCCTCGGCGAGCCGATGATCGTCGAGCCTCTGCCCCGCGCGCCCCCGAGCCCCCCCCCTCCCACCCACCCACCCACACACACACACACACACCGCCGCCGCCGCGCGAGCGCCGCGCGGCGGCACACCCAGCTCAAAAGAAAAAGAAAAAAGGGAATGAGGAGACCAGCGAGGGAGACTCCCCGCCTATGCAAGCCCCAGAGAGGGGCCGCCATCGCCGAAGCTGTGCCAAAGCATAACTCCAAAACCCGCAGCGGCCCAGGGGGCCTTGGGGGCAGCCTGCCGGACCGCCGCTGCACGGGGCTAGGCACCAGAAGATGAGTGGAATTGACGAGTTGGGCCGTTGTCCGTGCTTCCCCTCTATACGTCAGAGTGGGACCTACGCCGCGCCGGGAAAGGGGCGCGCCCGGTCCTCGACGGAGCCGCGCGCCCCAAACGACCCAGGCGGCGAGTAGTCGACCTCGAACCTTCGACATGTAGTTGCCCGTAGTTAGCGCCCGCCCGCCCCCGCCTCCGTCGCTTCGTAAAAGAAAAAACGAAATAAAAACAAGCAAAAGAGAAAGCGAAGCCAAAAAACGATTGCGTAAACGGCGTCACAAAGCCCGCCGGTTTTGATCGACAATCGTGAGATTGACCGCCGTCGACCAGAGAATTGACGGCAGCATGCAGACGATGTGCCAGCTTGCACGGCGCTCGCGCCGCGCCGGCTGGCTCATCGAGCGCGCTCTTTGGCGCCGTCCGGGCCACGCGCGGCGCCGCGCGTGCCTCGCGCCACTCGCCGCGGCTGGCAGTACAGCGCCAAAGCCGCCTCGCAAACACCGCGCACAGCACCAGCATGCTGCCCGCCAGGCAGCAAAGTGCTGCACCGGCGTGCAGCGGACGCTGCGGCGCTGCGGTGCCGCCTCCCCGCCCTGTCCACGGAGCAGGCGAGCGGCGGCACGGCCTTCCACCAGCTGCAGGAGGTGCGCACTTCCGAAAGGAAGCACCAGATGCACCTTCAGCACACGCAGCTTTGCGCAGCGCAGCGCACGGGCTACGCCACGCAAAGCCGACCCTCAGTCTGCCCAAGAGGCTGTCTGTGGAAGGCCTGGCAGCGCGTACTCGCCTCCTCCGCGGCCATGCCCTCCGCACGGGCGAGCGAGCAGCGCGAGAGGGGACACAACCATTTCTGGAATCCTGGTCCCCTCTCTTTTTTGAGCGAGCCTTCGAACACACACCCACACGCCGCAATCGTCGCCGGCACGCGACACGTTCCCGTCGGCCGGACTGTCCTCGCCGAGTGTGTGCCGCCAAGGCGGGACGCACTCAGGGACAGTGCCGACGGGACGCGGCTGGAGAGGCGACTCCCGCGAAGGCACGGCTGGCCACCGTGGCGCTGGGCTCGTCTTCGAAAAAGTCGGGTATGGCTCCGCCCGCAACTCTCTCGCTGACACGCGCGCCCCGTCGACCTCACGAACGACGGACGCGCTGCGTCGCAGTCCCACCCGAGCGGGCGGTAAAATCGAGAGGTCCCGCGCCGAGGCGATATGCCGATATCCGTTTTCCCGCGCATTTCGAATCCGAGAGCGAGAGGGGGGACGACAGCTCCACGCGAGAGGGCCGGAGCTGAGACCCGCGGTCGAGCGGTCGCGTGACGCGCTGTAGTGGCAGGGGGCGGCTTGGTCGAGGGGCGGCTCGCGGCTGGCGGCCGGCCCTGCTTGGCTTTGGGCTCTGACTGGGTGTGGGTGGGGCGTGGGGGGGCGCGGCTCCCTCAAAACGAGGGGGCGTCGTCACGAGCACCTAGACGAGCACCCCCCACGGCAACGCGCCGTTGGACGGGGCCTGGACGGGGCGTTTTATATTTTGTCGGAAAGAGGTGTGTGTGTCTGTGTGCAGTGTGTGTGTAACTCTAGAGTACCCCACTGCAGACGGCTATATCGCGTAAAAGTGTATATATAAAAAAGACCGCGAAGAGAGAGAAGAACGAGAGCACATACGTACTTTGTTTGTTACTCGCAAAAGGCGCTCTGACACGCCGACAGCGGACACCGCCGGCACTAAAGAAGAGAGGTCATATCGCCTTCCCCTCCTGCTTCTGACTCTCGCTCTCCACGCGGACGAGCAGGCACGGCGCGCCCTCATGCGGTGTGCCGTCTGCGCGCCTGAGGGGGACGCACCGCACACCGCGCCTTAGGCAGCGGACGGGCAGCGCGTACTGCCCCATGAAGTCGTCCGCCGACAGCACGTCGTCGTCCCACACGGTAAAGAGTAGCACGGCCACGTCCGGCTCCGCCACCTAGCGAGTGCGCCCCGGGCCGTCTCTCGGGCGTGTCTCTCGGGCGTGTCGAGGTGCGCACCGAGGCCAGTGCGCGCGAGCAGAAGGCAGAGGCGGCGGTGGCGATGGCGGCGGTGGCGGCGTGGGTGGGGACGGCGGCGGCGGCGCCTCAAACTCGAACGTCTCCCCCCACTCCGGGTTCTCCCCGCCGCCGCTCACAGTCTGCGTGCGCGCGCTGCACGTGTCGGCCGCGTCCGCCGCCGCGCCCGTGACCTCGATGACCACAAACGGGTCCACCGCGCTCTTCCTGGCGGGCGGTTTGCAGCGGTTCGGGCTTCCCGGCGAGTCCGGCCGGCCGCCTCCGCCACTGCCCTCCGACGCGAACAGCGACCTGCGGCTTGACCGGCTGGTGGACCGCATGAGCGAGCGCTCGATCAGCCCCGGCTCCGGAGGCGGGAGGTCGTGGCCGCTCAGCACGGACACGCGCAGCAGCAACGGCGCGGGCGCCAATGCGGCGGCGGCGGACGCGCCGCAGAGCAGCCGCGGCGGCTTGAGCACCCAGCCGCATCCCCCGTTGGCGGCAAACTTGCCCTGGTTGATCCACACGGCAC